TCTTGGGGTCATTGCCCTGCTCGACATCCGACTGTACGAACAAATAGGAGACCTACACCATGGTAAGGCATGGGAGGGCGGGGCAGGACGTCAGATGTGACGCTGGCGCACCTAGCTTGCCCCCCTCTCCTCCGTCTCCTCCTCCTCCCCCTCCTCCTCCTCCTCCTCCTCCTCCTCTTCCTTCTCATCATCCTCCTCCCCCACTCCTTTCCCTTATAAATAACTCCTCCCTGTCGCATCCCGAGACTGGTCGACGGAGTGCTGGGCGTTTCACCTAGAACTTCCTCTCCATTGATGACCCTGAAGCTAAACATCGGCAGCATATTCACAGATGGAGGGCGGGTGGTTTTCAACAAGTGGCTCTCGCCTTGCACACTCGTTTTCAAGTATCAAGGGTTTCACGGATTGAAGGCGGGTCTCTTTCAAAACGTGGCTCTCGCCGCAGCGTCCGCTTGTGAAGTTTGCAGGAATTCCACGGATTGAAGGCAGGTCGTTTTCACAATGTGGTTCTCGCCTTAGCGTCGCGCGCATTCTTTTGAAAGAGCTGCAAGAGTTCCACGGATTGAGGACATGTAGTTTTCAAAATGTGGCTCACGCCTTAACATCGCGCACACTGGTCTTAAACATCTGCAACTACGGATTCCCATGGTCAAAGTGCAAGAAACGGTGCCTTGGAAGGACTCAGGACTGTGAGGGTGCACCAGTTACGTTGATTCGCGGTGCTGAAGTCCCTGAAACGGCGTTCTGGCACGATTCCGGATCGTCAAGACGCAGCAGTCATGTTGATGCGTGGCATTGGAGTCCGGGGAACGGTTTTTTGGCACGCTTCAGGGTCTTCAAACGGTTGTCTCCCAACAAGGCAGTTCCCTCAGTGGACATTAACCCTTGTACAGGCATATAAGGGGGGAGCTCGGAGGGAGGGTTTATTCCAACATCGTTGGTGAGTGTTGGGTTTGCACTGGTTATCCTTCTCCTCCTGATCCTCCTCCTCCTCCTCTTGCATCCTCCCCCTCCCTCCTCCCTCCTCCCCCCTCCTCCCTCCTCCTCCTTCCCTTCCCCTCCCGCTCCGCCCGTGCTTGCGGGGGGAGGAAGCAGAAGGAAGCCAGAGGGTAAACATAACAAGTGGAGAGTGAGGAGGAGTTGGGTGAGGCTGGCAACAGGAGGGGAGCAGAAGGAGCAGACGGGGAAACAGCACGAGCGGAGAGGATCAGTGCAGAAGTGGGAAGAGGAGCAGGACGGCTGGGGGGTTACATGTAACAGGAGGGAAGGTGATCAGAGGGAGGAGCAGCAAGAATTACACAGGGGCGTACCCAACCCGTCCGACACGTGCGGCCACCTCAAGGCAGCGCAATGTGCACGTGAAGCCATTGAGGAAGTTGTTGCGGTGAAGCCTCGGGGGATCAGAGAGTGGTCACACTTCAGCGTCTGGCAATGCGACAGAGTCCCTGGAGATTCAGAGCACGAACAAGAGGAGGAGCGGACGGGGAGGCGATAGAGAGGAAACGCGTTGGCGCGCGAGAGACGCGAGGGGAGCGGACAAATGAGGGTCAACGACGAAGGGCGATGACCGATCTCGTCCAAGTGTGCCCAAGCATAACGCTGCCAGGCCGAAGCCGCGCGCCAGCTACGTATTCGGCGGTGGATATGCGCGCCCCCCCTGCCTCATAGTTGGGCGAGAGGTACATGATAGCGCTGCCGAAACTGCCGGCGGCTCCATCGTTCAGCCCTGCAGAGATCGGCACCAGTTCGACGGCATCCATGCAGGTTTTTGTGCGGATGCCGTGCGCTTGGATGCACCCAGGGCAAGGGAGGTCACTCATGTCTCTCCTGTGGGCCCGCGTGGTCAGCCACGCACGAATACGGTGGACCGACGGTATTCAGCACGTGCAGACAGCTAACGGCCGCGCCGATTGGATACGACGTACAGAATCACAGCGTTTTAGGACATGTTGAAGGACGGTTGCATGAACACGCGAGCGGGCTTAAGCCGCCTCTGGAGGCGAGACATTGCCACGCCTGCTATGCCCTGGACGACCGTCGTGCATAGCGGCAGCGGTGAGGGACCACCCCCTGCGCACCCCCTATGGTGTCGAGAAAATGCCACGCATGCTATGCCCTGGACGACCGGCGTGCACAGCGGCCGCGGTGAGGGACCACCCCCTGCGCACCCCCTATGGCGTCGAGAAATGCCACGCCTGCTATGCCCTGGACGACCGTCGTGCATAGTGGCCGCGGTGAGGGACCACCCCCTGCGCACCCCCTCTGGTGTCGAGAAAATGCCACGCCTGCTTTGCTGTGCTGCGCTGTGTGAGAAGGGGAGGAGGGAGGTGCGGGAGACGCGGATGCGACGAGGCAGAGAAGAAAACTAGAACCCCACTAAGCATGTGGGGACAAATCAATGTTTTTGGCCTCTTGTGGCCTTCCTGGAAGCCATCTTGGGGGCCTCTTGGGCCGTCTTGGGCCAGCTTCGAGCCAACTTCGGCCATCTTGGTGGGTTCCTGGCACGTCTGACGCCGTCGGGAGCCTTCTTGGGGGCCTTTCTGGGCCGACTTGGGGCCCTCTTGGGGCGCTTCGGGGCCGTCTTGGAGGCCATCTTGGGCGTCTTGGAGGCCATCTTGGGCGTGTTGCAGGCCTCTTAGGCCGTCTTGGGGCCCTCTTGGGGCCGTCTTGGAGGCCACTTGGGCCCTCTTGGGGGCCTCTTGGGCGATCTTGGGGGCCTCTTGGGCCGTCTGGAGCCGTCGGAATGCCAAAGAAGCACATTTCAAAATCCTTCAAAAACCTACGGAAAATCAATGATTTGGCATTCTGGGGCCCTCCCGGAGGACCTCTTGGAGACCTCTTGGGCCGTCTTGGGGGCCTCTGGGGGGCCGCTTGGGCCGTCTTGGGCCGTCTTGGACTCTCTTGGGCCGTTTTGGAGGCCGTCTTGGACCCTCTTGGGCCGTCTTGGAGGCCATCTTGGACCATCTTGGTGGCCATCTTCTGCCAACGTGGCCATCTTGGAGGCCATCTTGGGCCATCTTGGGGGATTTTTTTCCGGATTGAGCTCCTTGAGATCCTTTCCGGGTGGCCGGCGGGACGGGCCGAAGCCCCAGGGGGAGTTCTCTTGGAAAAAGAGCCAAAACCAAAAGCCATATAACTCGGCACGCCAGGCACCCCTTTGATAAATCAAAAGGGGGCGGCGGATCGAAGACGCCTACGGCGAATCACCGCCGCTCCCTGCCTTTCTGGAAGCGCCTATGTGGCCGAACGTTGAGGCCAGACCTGCCAAGCTATCGGACCATGTGTTCCCCGAACCGGTTTGGAAAGCCTCCGGGGAACACGTGGGCATGCTGAAGGTCATTCAGGAGCGGAAAAAGGACGTACATGTACATGAATCCACGCTGGTTTCGAGAGTTCACATTGCGCAAATGTTCGTATAACGCGGCCGGTCTCGCGGATCGAGGGGCCGTGTTCATGTACATAGCTGGGCGCG